CCCCCCCCCCACTGCTTAAAAACACTCCACCAGCCCGTTAGATCTGAGAGAGGGCGAGTAAATGGGAAGGTAGGTCAGAGAAGAGGCGAGTAAACGGGTAGATAGGTCAGAGGAGGGGTGGGTGGATGGATCTGACGAGGTAGAACCGTGGATGTGGGGGCTTGAGAATAGATGAACTTGGTGGGTGGGTGGATAGACCACAAGATGGGTGGATCTGGTGGGTGGACAGACTGGATTCGGGTGGGTGACTTTAGTGGGTGGGTGGCTAGACTGGAGGAGGGGTGGGTAGCCGTGTGGGTGGATCGGCCTCTCCTATAGGCCTAATGTATCAGCCTGATACGCTGGTCTCCCCCATGTAACTCCACCAGAGGAAGAACCCAGTGGTCCAAGCCCGTCCCCACCCCAGGCAGGGCCCCTGGGGCAGCCCCCTCCAGTGTGACACCGGACTTGGGGTGGGTGGGCATCTGGCAGCCCCCTGTCCATCCTGCTGTCTCCCCGGCAGGCTGCAGTTCGGGGGGCTGGGGCAGCTGACGGACGGCGTGGTGGGGCTGGACGACTTCACCCAGACGAAGGAGCTGCGGGTCTGGCCGGGCTACGACTACGTGGGCTGGAGAAACGACTCCTTTCCCAAGGGCTACCTGGAGATGGAGTTCGAGTTTGACAGCCTGCGGTCCTTCACCTACATGAAGGTACAGGGGCCGGGCCTCTCCCCTCTAGGGAACAGGGGTAATTTGCCCTCTGTGGGGCACTGGTACCCCCTCCATGGCTGACCCTTCTTCTTCCCCCAGGTCCACTGCAATAACATGCACACACGGGGCGTGAGCATCTTCCGGCAGGTGGATTGCCGGTTCAAACGCAGCCTGCCCACTGCCTGGGAGCCGGAGTCTGTCTCCCACGTGCTCACGGTGGACGTCAAGGACCCCAGTGCCCGGTCGGTCACCGTGCCCCTGGGGGGCCACCTGGGGCGTTTCCTGCAGTGCCACTTCCACTTCTCCAGCGCTTGGATGCTCTTCAGTGAGATCGCCTTCCTCTCGGGTGGGTTGGGTTCGTTCGTTAGCGCCTCGTTCGTTCGTTAGCGCCTCGTTCGTTCGTTAGCGCCTTGTTCCTTTGTAATCACCTCGTTTCTTTGTTTGTCAGTGAGCTTGTTCGCGAGTGGATGTGTTCGGTCAAGTTCATTGGCTAACTTCTCCGTAGGTTTGCTCGTTGTCGAGTTTGTTAGTTCTTTCATACCTTGCTTAGTTCTTTTGTGCATTTTCCTTCCTTTGTGAGTTGTAAGCCTTTGTTGGTTGGTCCGTTCGCTGGCAGGTTGCCCGGTTGCCTGGCTAATTTTGCTGATTGCTCAGGTGTTTGATAAGCTTATTGGTTGGCTCCTTGGTTGACTGGTGTCATAAACAGGAGGGCTGTGTCTAGACTGGCAAGCTTTTCCACAGAAGCAGACGCTTTTGCGGAAAAACTTGCCAGCTGTCTACACTGGCTGCTTGAATTTCCACAAGAGCACTGACTTTGTAATGTACAAAATCAGTGCTTCTTGCGGAAATACGATGCTGCTTCCGTTCGGGTAAAAGTCCCTTTTGCACAAAGCTTTTGCGTAAAAGGGCCAGTGTAGACAGCTCAGATTTGTTTTGTGCAAAAATGGCGATCGGGGCTTTTTTGCGCAAAAGCGCGTCTAGATTTGCACGGATGCTTTTCCACAAAAAATGCTTTTGCAGAAAAGCGTCCTGCCAATCTAGACTCTCTAAACTTTTCCGTTAAAAGCATTTGCGGAAAATCATGCCAGTCTAGACATAGCCAAGCTGCTAAGGA